CACACTGTTTCCTGTGATTTCCAGCTCATATCATCCATAAAAGGTGCTGTGGATGATTTCAGTATTGTAATGTCACAAAACATACATATATTATGGGCTACAAAGCCGAAGGAGAGAAGAAAAATACCTAAGAAAAAGGGAAAAGAAGAAAAAGATTTTCTATGACACATTGTAGACTCCCCCTTTTTTATATCATAATAATTATCTGTCCAATTACAATTTAAGAAAAAAGTGTGCGAGGTTAACAGAGGAAACTTCCTCAGCCTGTCTTAATAGTGAATCCAAACAGCTGTCGCCTTTTCCTCTGGTTAAATATACATTGCAAGAGCAGTTCTGCTCAATCACAGAGCAGGTCAGTCAGTAGAATAAACCCTCCATTTTCCCCTTACTGTCCCCAAATCTGGTTGGGATACAGGAAGTACAGAGATAGGTAGAACAAGGGGAAGTCCTGTTGCAGGAGCAGAAACCCACTTGCGTTACTATGATGTAGCTTTCAATTCCAGCATCTTGTTTCCAAAAAGGCTAACCAGATGTCTGTGGGAAATGCACAAGCAGGGCAGGAACAACTAGCTCTCTCTTTCTGCTTTTGCCCAGCAATTAGTATTAATGGCATACTGATTCTGAAGATGAAAGTTCAGTATGGCTAACAAAGTTATAGTGATGAACTTGATATATTTATTTATTTTAATTTACTTATGGTAAACCATCACCTAGGATGTACTGTTTTGTTTTGGCTAATTGAAGGAAAGGATTCTAAATTTTATAAATAAAAATAATAAATGTACGACAGGTTTTACCTGACGTACATAGAAACCACAGAATTAGTAATATAGTACATTAAGGTATGCTATTATTCAAACTAAAATCCTGGCATAACATCATAAAGTGCATTAGTATTCAGACTTTTCCAGAAGTAAGTCCCTTTGAACACAATGGACTTATCCTAAGTGAACTTGCATTAGGATTGCAATATTACACTAGGAAATGTGCACATTTTGGTAATGCTTAGAAGTTCAATATTTGCTTTTTAAAATGCTTCTGGAAATTAGTTATTTTATAATGTAGTTGCTTCGCCTCTACAGTTCAAAGTAGACCAGAACTAAAATACCGGAAAGCAATGGAGAACTCACACTCTCTAAGACCATCTGCTTGGCCTTTGCCTGTAGTTCCCACTTGTTGTGTTTCCAGCCAGCTACATGGGTTGGAGAAAGAACAGCTGGTGTAATTTCTTTTCCTATAGCATCTCACCTATACCAAAGTTTTCATCTTTAACCACATTCATAAACAATATATTACTGTGGGTATGAAATCCACTACATCTTAGAATAATAAAGATTAGATGGGCCGTCCCACACAAATGCCACCACAAATAAAATATGTTATACTTACTAAGATTCAACCCTCTAAATAAAAGAATGCACTGTTTAAAACAATGCATATCTGTAAATGTAAATAGTTCTTCTACAGAATGCTCAAGCACAGAAATAGACAAGCAAGTTCCCTGGGTGTGGGGCTTCTACTGAGGAGGACCCCTTGGAAGTTACAAATAAGCAGTGACTGAGCATGTATGAGGGACCTGCACTTCCTGTTTTCATGTTTCCAGTATAATGTGCTGTCTGCAAATTATGCATAGTGCTGTCAGATTATGGCTGCAAAACTCCAAATAGCCACTGGACGGCATGAAATATAGTACTGTATTTCTCTATTATTATTTTTTTCCGCCATCCAGGGTTCGTCAGGAGTTTTGTACTCCGGATCTGGTAGTTCTAATGATTCAGGGTCTGTGGTACAAATGAACCTTTACAACAAAGGGCATGCATGCCCACAGAAGTGAGAGCCCAAAATGGGAATAGAGACAGGATAACTGTTAAGTAAATGTTTTATTGTTATATTTTTAGCATATCCTTCCTTCAAAGAGCTTAAAGGTTCCTCCTTTCCATTTGTTATTCTCATAAAAACCTCATGAGGTGGGTTATGCCGAGAGATAAAACTATAAGAAATGACGGTATGTGACCTTCATGACTGTGTCTGATGGTTGGATTCTGTTCTAACTACTAAACAACACTGTCCTTTCAATATAAATGGACAAGGGCCTTCACCTCAGTTTCACCACTGCTTTGTTCTGTGTGCTTATTCTTATACCAGATCTTCAATCCTGTTCTTTTCCTCTGTTGAGCTATACTTACATTTGCATACATAGAGCCTCTAAAACTGATTTGCTACTTTTAACAATGATCATTTCTGAGGTAATGGAGTTAACAGCCTCTAAGAAGTAGATTGGCAATACACATATGGTTACTCAGGAGAGGCCCCACATAACAGATTGCAATCCAACAGCAATCAAGAGGATGCCGATTTATACTGCTCACTATGCATATTCCCCTGGCTTTTTAATTTGGATGTTTTTAAAATGTCAGATTTGATTGTTTTTGGCATTGCCTTTTTTTGATACAAACTGTTTTCCTGGGTCTTATTAGCTAATGTCAACTGCCCTGGAAATGTGGAACTGAAAGACGGTTTCAACAGAAAGACAATGTTTCAAACAAAAACACTATAGCGTAAACTGCGCTTAATGTGGTTCTGATCCTGCAAACAGTGGCTTGCTAGTTATGATAGATCCTATTCCAAAGGGAAAACATGTAGAAAAACAACAGCAAGTCACGTGACACCTAAGATAGACTTTATGGCACAAATTTCACTGGCTACAACTCATTTCCCTAATGCATGACCCAGGAATCCCAGACTGCTTATAATGGAGGCAAATTTCTGAGTTCGGGATGACCAATCATCAAACTGGCTTTGAAAAGAGAGAAGATTTCAATGATGGAATTATCAAATAGGAAATGTTCAAAACTTGGTGTCTGGTGTGGCTGAAATAACATCCTCTATTAAATATACACACTTTGAATCAATGGACTTCAAATGTAATGGAAAGAATTCCTATTGTATTTGTCACTATGCAGGTGATGTAAAATGATGCATAATGGTATTGTGGATGACACATTCTCTGATTTAACCAACAATTAGGAATAACAAAACCCTCCTCCAAGCAATCCATTAAACTGTGTGTGTATCGATCTATATCTATATATCTGTATCTATATCTATATCTAGAAGCAGCAAAGTACAGCAGCTTATAGCACCTTGAAGACAAAATTTCATAGGCTATTTGAAGGGAAGGGGAGCCTATAGCCTTCCAAGTGTTGTTGAACTGCAATCCCCAACAATCCCAAGTTACAACAGCAACACTATCCCTCTGGATGTATAATTACTTTTAACCATGCTTTTGGAATGGCCAATTCCCAGAGTATATTGTTATTTTATAATGTATGATCTTGGTTTTAGTTTTTGATTGTTATGTATTTGTGTATTTTAATCCAAATTACATTGTACACTGTTCAGTTGACTGGAACAGTCCATGGGTCAAATAAATAAGTAAATGTACACGGGAATGTCGGGGAGCACACATATTAATCATACCTGCCTTAAATTCACACAATTTCTTACTGGTTTTGCTGCAAATAAATGGATCATCAGTTGAATGTATCATTGGTTCCAAATTATTTTAATCTGTGTTTTTTAAAAAACATATTCTCTAAAATCAGTGGATTAGCTTATTCAATACAAGAATTACCAATTATAGATATTTCAATTTTAATAATGATTGATTATTTTTATAATTATTGTCTTTATATATTATTGTTTTACTCGATTGTTGTATGCTACCCAGAGTCACTCCTTGTGAGATGGGCAGCCATATAAATTTGATAAATAGATAAAAAATAAAAAACCTTCACACTTGCAAGGTGTAATGCCTTGCCCACAGGGGTACTAAATGTAAGGGACTTGCCCGTGTGGCTGTGGGAGGCTGAATCATTAACAATTGTCCTCCTAATTGATGAATCCTATAAAGATAAAGGCAATCGGTCATTGCTCCAATTTTACAGTCCTCCCAATGTTACTATAATATGCCATAAATCACTTTTTTACTTACCAGTTCAGATCTTGAGATATATATAAATGTGACCACATTTTATGTAGTAGCCTGGAGATACAAGGCAGCTTTCCTAATTCTTTTTAACTGAGAAGACTCGTTTTATGATTTTAGGTTTGGGGCTATTTTATGTTAATGTATAGCACCTTGCACACACACATGTGTGTGTGTGTGCGCGCGCACGTGTTTGTATGTACAATCTGACCAACATTTTCTGTTTTGATTTATAAAATGTTTACAATTTTCTGGGAGACCCATAAAGATTAAAAGCCATAGGGAGATAATTCCAGGTCAGTTGGACGTTTTTCCAGCCCAACTGATCAAAGGGGTTTCTAATGTCTCTTTTCTTTCTCTGAAAAAGGAAGGCAGAATAGGTTTCTAATAGCAGAACCAGAAACGCATATTGTGGGGCAACCTCCCACTACTTAGATTCCCTCAACAAAAGTATATGTCACACTAACTTCTCCCATCCTAAGCATATTTTACCTGACGTGAATCATACTGATGGGATTTTAAACCATCTGTTTTTCTTTAATTTCTGGTTTTTAAATCAATAATAATTTAAAAGTGAAAAGGCCCTGAGGTAATTATAGAGTTCCAACTGTAGGCAGAAGAGCGAAGTATCTGGAAACATATTTATTAATTTCTTAGATTTACATCTTGCCTTTTGTACAAGAGTTCATGGTGGGGTACATAATACTTTTTCCTCCTATTTTTCCCCAGAATGACAACCCTGTGAATTAGGTTCAGCTGAGAGAGAGTGACTGGCCTCCCCAGTGTTTAGTTTAATCCAGTACTGTATTAAACATATTTGGAGCCACTTCCAGTCCCCAGGCATTTGGCTGGTTTCAACAGAGTTGACACATGCCCAAAGGGCCATTTTCCCTTTTAAGTGTGTAACAGTATGACCACACTTCCCTCATAAAAATTAAAATTAGTCTGAAAAGTTTAGATAAACTAAAGGGAAACGTTAGGCTTGTGATAGATATACAGATAGACACTATACCTGAAAAGTATCCATGATCTTACATGGGCCAGAGTTTTTCACTTGCTCTTTGAAGGCCTTTGGAAGGGAGATCCGGTCTGCAGAGCAGCAAACCCAGCATCTCATCTTGTTCCTGAAAAAGCAGGAGCATTTAAACGGTTTTAAATAGCTGCAGCAAGTTATACATAGTAAGAAGGAACAAGGGGTGGAAAAAAATGGACGGTATATCTTTAACCCACAAAGGGTGGAGCAGATTTTGTTCTGAGCTCGCTAACAATGGAAACTTTTTTTTAACGTTTCCCTCCATCAGTCCTGCCAAGCAATAGGAAAAAAAGAAAAAAGAAAGAAAAGAAAGAAAAGAAACTTGTTCCGCTGAGTTCAACCCCAGACAGGCTCACAACTTCCTTCCTGCTTTCCGACCCCCTCCCCTCCCTACTCTCGCTCCCGCACATTCAACAAACACTGAAGAAACAGCCAATGACAAGGGTGATGTTGGAAAAGACGAGTAACGATCAGGGCGGCTGAACAGTTTAAAGTAATAATAATAATAAAGTTTCAGATCCAGCCGACAATAGAATTTGCTCGCTTTTTCAGTTACGCGCCACGGGCGGGGGCAAGAGAGACGCCTAAACATCTTGACCGGGAGGAGGAAATTATTTCTAGAGCAATTTTCAAGTCTGCGCGTCTTCATGGCTAGAGCTTTTTCCGAGGCAATGTGAATGGTGAAGGTGCACCAATCTCTCCTGGACAGGTACGACCAACCTCTCCGATTTCACTCTCTTAATTTCCTCCTTGTGCGTTTCTCTTTCTTTCCTGCGCTCCAACTCTTGCGTCAAAGATCGCTTTTTCTGGAGACCCGGTCGGAGAAAAAGAGCCGATTTAGGCTGGGATCAGTAGCGGGCGAGAATCAGGTTTTACGGGCACGGATCAAGTAGTGAGAAACGAGCTTCACACCGCCCCTACTTCCGAAAAGTGCCAAACTCAAATGGGCAGTGTGCTTTCATTGTTGAGGGCTATCATAAACCGCACCTTCGTTTGGCGGGGGCGCCTCTGGCACGCTGCCTTTTTCGGATAAGTTCCACCGGTGCCAGAGTTTAGAATACACACACGCACACAAGCACACTATCATACCGAAACTATCCTCAAAACAACATGTATTCAGCTGTCTTCCGTAGGAAGAGAAGCGCTTCAGCCAAATCGACTCCAGTTGTAGAGATCCGTGAAGAGAGCCCTGATCTTCGGGTCTCCATAGAGATTGCCATCATTTGTTTCCTCGATATGAGGGCAAGACACGCATCACAGGGTTCAGCTTGCACATAAACACACACAGCCGAGTCTGGCATGTTTACAAAATATTTAACTCACACCACGCCCTTCCCGCTTTCACACTGGACACACAATTTTTACAAACTAAGCTGTAATTTTAAGAACCGTTGAGGGATAGAGGTCCAGAACGTGCCTGGTATGCAACAGTGAGGCATGATTGCTACTCCTACTGGTAGCATTGCTCTGAAGAACAACACTCCGCTTTGATGCATACTTCCTATTTACTAGATCCACCAAGAAGTTATGTTTTTGCACCATTATGTGCATAGAAATGCTATCTGCTGGAATTCTGAGAAGTAGATGCTATTTAAAAATACAGATGAATAAAGACTCCCAAGAGAATGAACCCACTTCATAAATTCAAGAAAACTTGTTTAAAAATAGATCAGGGGAAAGTTGAAGAAATGTGCATGAAACTATAAATACAACTATGCCTGCTATATAATTGTAAAACATTGCCTGGAGGCATATAATTGCGTGTATTCCAAGAAGCAATATTATAGAAACTCACAGAAATAAATTACAGCACAAGCATAGTCTTAGTCCAAAGATCAAGAGGCTCCTTTACAAACTCATAAACACGTAGCTGCACATGGATCACTCAGTAGGATAAAGAAAAGCAAATCACTGAATTAGGGTAGCAAAACAATCCAGCTGATGGCTAAAAGAGAGGGGTTACTTTATTTTAGTTCATTCCCAATTTGCTTACCATATAACAAACCTGGGCAAGTCATACTTAGCCTTAGAAATCTTAGAGTAACACTGGCAATGCCAGCACTTACCTCATTAGAAAGAGGCTAATGCTATGGATTCTCCAGTGTGTATGTTTCTAAGATCCAGTATGATCCCAGCATTTTAAAAATCCTTTATAGTTGATAATAAATGATATAATATTGTTGAGATGGATGGAAACAAATCCAGCAAAAAATAGTATCAAATTCATTGTGGCCTACATCCACTGATAAGATTCAAGAAGCCAAATTAAAGAAAAAATAGTTCAATGATTCTGATCTCCACAATTTTGTTAATTATAGCAATGAAGGGGGCAAGGCAATTCCAATCAGGACCATGGTGCGGGATGAGATGCTGTTAAACCTGTTTATTTTCCTGTTTAAAATTGAATACAAAACTACAGTTTCTTCATGAAGATACTGATTGAGAATTGAAACAAACAATACAAAGGGGAAATGTTAAATATTCTTCTAGCATCTTTACCTTATTTAGAATCATCCTCTACTACAGTCTGCAGATCAGCTATTTAAAAAAAAAACCTTAAAAAAACACACTTCCATATCTACCTTGGCCATCAGTGGTAGAGAGCATGATTTTTCATGTTTCTGACAAAAATGTGATCAGACCCATGATAAATACAGTCATCTTCCAAGTACTACAAGGCTCCTAGTTGAAAAATATAGTATGAACTAGAAGATTGTAAGGTAATACTACAATATATATTACACATCATATTCTTTTGTTTAACCAAATATAATCTCCTAAAGTTATCAGGTTCCTCGTTCCTCTAAATGCACATAAAAAGAAAAAAAATTTTTTTTTTAATCACACAATTTTGGTTATAAAATGAGTGCTATGGTGGTGTAGAACAAGCATTACAGAAAAAAGTGCATAGACCAACTGTGCATTATATATTATTACTGCATATGCTTATTGACTCGTTACATCATTACAAAACTCACATTTCCCTCCTTGTGTTGGTTATGACCATGGACTACGTGACTACGTATTGAGCCAAAACTATATTCAAAATTCAGTGTGATTTATTCTTGCCAGCAATTCTGGTCTGCACATTATATAATTCTACTTCAGTTTCAACACTGTACGAACTTAAATGTTCAAAGCATGGTAAATAATTAGGCAAACCTATTAGCAACCAAAAATAATTAAATAATTAAATTTGCCACAGAATGAAAGCCATTAACTTATGCACAAAATCAAAATCCTTAACATATAACTGATACAAAAAATAAGAGGCATGGTTTAATTGGGAGAAGCTATACCACACAGATGCATATTATCCATCAAGGTTATAAATATGTCCACACTAATACAATTCATGAATAGCATAGCACATATATAAATACACACTTAAATATGTAATACTAATAAAACATATACATCCTTGCAGCAGGAAATAATTGCATATTGTGCGTATATTCAGATTTCAGAAATAAATCCCACTCAATTCAGTAGAATTTACTCTTGTATAATGCCCAGAATTTAGATTCTATCTAAATTTCAGCAAAGTTACCATTTACTGAAAGTTTGAAAAAATAATTAACCCATCAGAACAGTGGTGGGTAACCCGTGACACTCAAGATGACTCCAACTTCCATCAGTCTCAGCCAGCATGGCTAATAGAAATGATGGGAGATGATGCAGTAACAGCAAGAAGGCTACAGATTGTCTACCTTCTCATTAGACAACACTGTATAACGAGTAAAAATGAGCAGAGGTACCATTTAAAGTAGCCTGATCAGAAATAAAGTAAAAGAGCAAAGTATTGCCACACGACACTGTTCCACTACAGAAATATAAATTCAGGGGAAAGTCTACAGCTCTGCTTCCCTTAGCCTTGTGGTGGCTTTTGACTTTATGGGATCAAATATTTATGAGTGCTATTGTTTTGATTATAACATTACTAGCTTATTATTTAGCTTCCTTGAATGCCATTTCTAGAGCAGATAAAGACGAATCTTGCAGTGTTACTTCCCACATCTTCCCAGGCCAGCATTTAGGCCCTTCTACCATTCTTTTCCATAGTTACTAAGTTCTTTTGCTTTAAAGAAAAATTCTTCCAGGTCATAAGTTTTCATTTTCCTGTCCCACGACTTTTCCCTGCCACCCTCCCAGGGAGGAAACCCATGTTTAGTCCATACGAGGTACTTTAGTCTCATGGGACGACTTCTGATCCTTGGGTCCTTTCTTGCCATCTGTTGTTTCTTTCTGATGAGTGGCCAGAATGTGGGTGGTTGGCATCACTAGCTACTAATTTATGATAACATACCATCTCAGGCTTTTTTTTTTTTTTTTTGGCCATCTCAGTTTCTTCTTAGGCCTTTGCCTGAGAAGCAGAACCTCTAGCTTTAGCAGTACTTTTATTCTTTTATGAAAAATTCTAATCTTAAGCAACTTGAGGTCATACCTTCTTGTCATTATGCTTTTTTTCCCATTAAATGAGGTATTCATTGTGATTGCTGAGAGATTTTCTAAACACGTTCAGAGGCATTCTTCTAATTCACCTATCCATTGTTTTATTTGCTTATTTATTCTACTGGAAAATAGATGTTAAGCCTTGGCTTCTAATTTATGTTGCCACAGCCTTCACAGGTCTGTTCTCTCTCTGTTTTCTCTTCTTCCTCTCATTCCTTTAACGCTGTAGAAAATTTAAGAAGCCTGTTTACTTCAACATGCAGTAAGACAGCTTACTTCAAGGCTGGTAAGGATGTCGTTTTGTGGCCAAGGGTTGCCTTTAGTGTTTTTGGGGAGTTTAAGGCAGCAAAGTGGGTGGGGCAACGCTCCCAGCACGTGATTTGCTTCTCCTGTCAAAATGACTGGAAACTGTACTGTCAGTTTTTAGCAGGCACGATCAAACGGGCGTCTGTAGGCTTCCAAAAGGGGCCCTGAGGCAGTCCGGGATCACAGGTTTTACACCCTTGCTTTGCTTTACTACTCATATAAAGGATCCTTCTTTATTGTTCATGCATTCTGGGACTGAACCTTGGCATTGAAACTAGGATCCGGATTATGTAAAGATTCAGGTTAATATGCTATTCCTCTCATCAACGTAATGAACTTTTAAAGGAGGCGGAGCTGGACTCTGCTGAACCCTTGCGGCTACTCACGTCTTTCTCGCAGCTGGGCTCCGGAGCGAGAGCTTTGCAGCCATTGGCCGAGCTCTGTCGCCCGCAGCCAATTGGCATGGCCGGTTTGAGCTGTCTCCGTTTTCGCGCGCTCACTGTCCCTTCTCTCTTGTCTTTCTCCTCAGTTGTTGCATGTTTATGGAGCTGTGGACCGGGGTCAGCTCATCGCCCCTGCGCGTCTTCCGTTCCCTGGGCAATGCTGCAGCAGTTGCCGCCGCCGCCCCCCCTCCTAAGAGGACGTGGGCTGTTCGGCAGAAACTGACCTGGGTGAAGGAGGAGGAGGAGGAGGAAGCAGAGCCTGTCCCCCGGCGGCCGAACCCATTACTATGGCCGTGTTCTGCTATGCGCTCAACAGCCTGGTGATCATGAAGAAGAGCAGCGAGGAAGAGGAGAAGAGCGGGAGCTGCAGAGGAGGCAGGAGCAAGACGCCGCCTGCGATGCGCAGGCAGGTGCCACCTGAGGTCGTCCGGGGAAGCGAAAGGCATAGCAGTTACTGCCCTTTGCCTCTGGGCAGCAGCGGCAGTTCCAGCAGCACCCCCACGGCGTTCCTCTTCCCTCCAGCTGAGCCGCTGCGTGCCAAGGAGGAGGCGCTCACTCCCAGGACCCCTCGAGAGCTCAGCAGCCCTAGCTGGGCGAGCCCCCCGAGCCGGTCTCCTTCCCCTGGCTGGAAAGGGGCTTGCCGGACGTCGCGGGTCCTCCAGCGGGAGCTGCAGAACGTGCAGGTGACTGAGAAAGTGGGGCTGTTCGAGGCGCATATCCAGGCGCAGAGTTCGGGGGGCGCCACCTTTCCTCTAAAGAGTCCCCGCCTGCCCAGGAGGTCGCCTTCCCCCAGCCGACCTCGCGCCCTGCAGCTGTTAGAGGACACCCCATCAAGGCAACGGGAGATAGAGGAGGAAATCAAGGAGCTCGAGAAGCTGTGGTTCCAACTGGAAACTACAGGGAAGGCGTTGGAGCAGGAGGCAGAGAAGGGCTCCGGGGACCCCCATCTATTACAGGTGGCAGGCAAGGTGAAAACGGGCAGTGGGTCTCCAACTACGCAGAAAGAAAACGGGCTGTCTGGAGAGCAGCCCCCAAAGACGATGCAGTTGGCCGAAGAGGACTCTGGAGCACAGGATTCAGAAGAGGTGAAGAGCAGGAGCCAAACCTGGGTGTGGAACTCAGATCAAGGGCACGCATTGTTCAAAGGGCCCAGTTCTGACCAGATGGGGAGGGCGAATGGGATTTCCAGGACGCAGGAGTCCAGGTTGGCAGAAAGGGGCCTGTGGCCTATTGAGAGGGAGGGCTTTGAGGTGAGAAGTCAGCCTCTAGAAGAGGAACACTCCAAAGAGATGGAAAGCAGGAGAAGCTGTGAGGAAACTTGGGGCTCGGACGAGAGCAGTGGGATGCAGCCAGGTGAAGGCAAGGCGCGACTTTCAGGGGGGCCAAGCAAGGTGAGCAGCTGCTGCGAGAGTCTAGGCTTCTTAGAAATCGGGC